CAACTTCATCTTCAACCTCTAGCCAGACCACCTGCATCTTGTTCATTTCTCATCCATTTTCAAAAATGTAAACATGAAACTTATGGCAAATTTCACCACAATTCCAGAAATGTAAATAACTTAAACTAATTCTAAAAAATGAGCATGAATTTTGAATGGTACCAAATTCTGACCTAACTTTTCCAGGATGTTCAGTTTCAAAATTCTAACTACTTAAGAAATATAAATGAAATCTAAATACATGGTTAGCTTCAGGACAATGATGTCTACATTTTTCATTCACAAATTAAACATTGATGATGCTTTTATGAAGAGCTCCAAGTTAAGGAAACATACCTCAAAACTGGAAATCATATTCTGAGTTTGAACACTCCTCGAGGTGTTGTGATGATCAGAATAGCTCCACTGAGGTCCCGGGAAGCTAATGCAATGTGTAGTTTGTATTGGAGATGGTTGAATCGTGCTGGAGAAGTCCAAGTGTAAAACTATTTTTGAAAATGGAGGATGGTGTTAATGGTGTTACAGTCTTGTAACAGGGTGTGAGATGAGTTCTAAATGATGTTTAGAAGCTTTAGGAACAAAAAGGCTTGAAAACGCACGAGGGAGATATGAGTTTCAAACTTTTGGTCAGGTTATGCAAGAATGGAGGTATGTGATACAGTTTTGAGTTCTTGGGAGTTTTTGGGCTTGTGTATGCGTGTGTTTTCTTGCAAATGACTTGTGTATCTATAAGAAAAAGGTTGGAGTTGTTTTGCACAAAGGATTTCTGAGTTATAGGGTTATGGCTAGGTTGCTTGATTTTGAAGAAAAGTGAAAGTATGGTTCCAAGATGAAGTACAAGCATGGGCTGAGTGATTGTAAGGCTTGATACAAACTTCTCTTGAGTTATAGGACGTGTATGATCAGAAGAAAACAATTTTAAGGCCAAGAACAATTTTTATGCATAAAGCTACTTTTTCAAAATGGCATTGTGCACTTTCTTCCTAAAATGGACATAAAACATGGGCATTGCATTGAATGCTTGAGTTGAGGCCTCTAACAGCTGTGCAAGTATTTAATTATGGAGTGCCTAACAAATTTGAGGCCTACAAAGTAAATATTATGCAGCATAGGCTTGAGATTTGAATTCTTGTTCATCACAGAATGACCTATAATTCCAACTTGAAACCCTAACTTCCTCTCTTCGATTCTCCTTGCTCAAGAATGATCTCAAGGAGTTTTTGGACATTTTAGAAATTTTGTAATGTGCTCTAAAACCCTTCTTTGAATCACTTTTGAAAATTCCCCTTCGAACTATGTGAAAAATTTCCATGAAGTTAGGTCAAAATCCTGCCTAAACTAGGGCAAAAATTTCACAAAGTGTTTAGTTTCATGAACATGTATTCACAAAATCATAACTTGAAATCCATGAATTTCTAGGAGAAGTTGTGTAAAGCAATGTTGTATATCTCATGGATATCTACAACTTTCATTTTGAAAGTTTCTTTTGAATCATCTTGCATCATAGTGAAAAGTTGGCTCAAAATTGTGAAAAAATATGAAGTTTTCAACACTTAGAAAATTTTCTAAGTTTAAAAACTTTGACTTTTCAAAATGAAATCTTGACTTTTTGATTTATTGATGAACAAGTTTCATATTTTGACATGTTTAGATGAATTGTGATTTTTGACACTTGATTTTGACCAAAAAGTCAAAGTTTGACTTTTCAGTATACAATTTACTTTTGATCAGTTGACTGAAAATCAACTATCAATCCAATTAATCTTGAGCAATGTTTTGAGTCATGCCATTAGGTAAAAATGATGCAATTTAACTCTTGAGATCATTCCTCAAACCAATTAACCATTTTCTAGGCCAAAAATCAGAAATTGCCCTTTCTCAGTCAAAACCCTAATTTTGACCATTTTGCCATTTTGATGATTTGAACAAAATTCTTGAGGAATTGTGGTCCAAACTTGATCAAATGATACATATGAGTTTATAATGTTGATGTGGATCAAAAATTATGAAGTTTGACTGTAAATTGGCCCTAGTTGACTTTTTCCCCAATACAGTTGATTTTTAGGTCAACTGGTCAATTGACTGGGCAAAAATGTGATCCAAGGCTTGAAACTTGACATGAGTAATCTTGGGGGTCCATAATGATCCATGAAAGTCATATGAGGCATTTAAATTTCAATTATTCTTGTGCAATCTCAAACCCTAATTTTAGTCATCAGTGCTTAAGGAGGTGTCTTGAGCTGATCAAACCTTGTGCAGTCTTGAACCAAAGGAGATCTTGTGAGAAAATACTGGATAAATGAGAGGGAAAATTTTGGGGTACAACATAACCTAACTACCATCACACAAAAAATGCCAAGTTGAAATTCTTGTTGAGTTACATTACTTCGATGATTTGATAACACTAGGTGATTCGACAACAACATGCTTTGACACCATGAATGACATTATTAACAACTACCACCTTGAATATCGTTGACCTCTACATTATTCCCCCTCTTAAACACCATATCTCTCCTTAGATACCTGGGTTGATTTCTCTCCACAACCTTCCATATAATGACCAAACTTCCCACAATTGAGGCATAACAAATTTAACCTTTTGTATTCCATCTTATAAACTCTATTTCTAATTATGAACATATCAAATAGTGGTTTTGATAAATCAACCTCCACACACAATCTCACATATTTACCCTGTTTCTGAAGAAGAGTATTCATGTCCACCTTTAGTATTTTATGGATTCTGTTACCAATGAATGTAAGAACTTTCGCAGCAAAATATTTAATTGGTAACCCATAAAATCTAACCTAAACCACCACATTCTTAATTTAATCTTTATCTAGATGAAAATTTGGTCTCTGTTCTTTAACAGTGAGACACTGATCATATATTAACCGAGGGCCATCCATTAAAGCATAACGGTGATGATATTTATCAAAAAAAGTCACAAGAAAATAGTTTTTACTTAGATCTATAATATTGATAATGCCATTCCTCACTCACATCTGTTTCAAACGAGTTTTCAAGGCCTCATAACTAATCTTCCTACCAAGAAGTTTAACAATAACTTAGGATTTCCATGGTTTGGAAATCATTTCCTCTTCTTTGCTAGAAAGCATGAAAGTTGGACAATCATATTGACCAACTTCCTCTATTCTAATAGTAAATGCTTTTTCTCATTAGCAAAGGATTTCCCTCTATGCAAACCCTAGTTATTTAGGTTAAATTTTTTTTAATTCTACAATTCAATTCTATTTAATTGATCTGATTAAATTTGATTTGTCTTCTAAAAATAGAAAAAAAAATACGCTAGGGCATCAGACCTAACTCAGTTACTCTAAACATAAGTGTAATAAATCCAAAGAATTAATATAAAACTACAAAATGGGCCCAAACCTAATTAATCCAAATAAACAAACCATAAACATGAGGGCAACCCAACAAACTTGTGTACGTATTCGAAACCAAGTTACAAAAGAAGATGAAAAGTGATCGTCTAAGAGTCTCAACTAAAGTTATAAAGTTGTCTAATAAACCAATCACCAACACGAAAAATGATCAACGTGCATCAACATTCCACCACAATAATAGTAAGCATGTTCTTTCAAGCATAACAATATGGAATCAAACACTAATAGTGGACTAGATAAGAATTTGAAGACAACAACCCCTCTTTCTAGCACAGAAGAGGAAGATCAAAATCATAAAATAAGACTAGATTCACCACCATCAACCACAAAGATCTGGAGCAACACAATAACCCATATTTGTCAGACCTTGAAGAACCCTGACAATTTGCGGATGATGACGAAAATAGGTTTGGAACCTAAGATGAAACTTGAGTGCTAGAGAAGAAAAATGTATAATCTTACACATGAACAACAAATACCCCAAATTCTCAAGGAAACTAGAAAACACGATATAAAATCCAATTAAAAACTTAATCATAGTTTCAAGGAAACAACGAGCCGAGGCCGGAGACAACGAGACAAAGTTTGATTTTCGAGCCACGATGGCGTGACATGAAGATCTGCAGTGCTAGAGACTGTATTATGTGTTGTGTGACACTAATAGGTGAAATGATGTTGTAGATAATCACTATTCTCGTCGCACCAACACCATCTTAATCTACATGAAAGAAGATGGGTTTTGAATTTGGGAGGGGAAAAGTGATCCGTGAATGAGTTTGAAAAGAAAGACGATAAAAGGTATCTTTAGGCTTTGTTAGTGAGTTTAGTTGAAAAGGGAGGGAGGATTTTAAAAAAAATGGAAAGGACGAGGTGATAAGAATCAAATGATTTAGAACAGTAGGATTTTGGAGGATTTAAATTTATTTTTAATACAAAAATCTTTTAATTTGGGATAATTCAAAAATTATATTGGAGGAAAGATTTGATGAATTTTGAAGACTTTAAATAAATTCTTCAATTATACTCTAAGTTGTTATAATACCCAAAAGTAAAAAATATATTAATGATAAAATGATAAAAATTTATCTATTTTTTCTTTAAATCTCTTTTTTTGAAAACTCTCTCTTCCACTTCATAAACACAAATAGAGACTTAGACACAAAAAAAACATGACCAAAATATGAAAATTATTTAATATTGGTTTAATTATTTTAATTAATTTTTCCTAATTAGAGATAAAAGTAGGACTTTTTGTCCCATACTACCCTATTAAGAATTTGAAAATAAAACAAAAACACACAGATTCAGTGCTTTTTATCTCTGGTTTTTGGGAGTGTGATGGCATGCAATTACTACTACTTGATCGTGGCCACATTTTTAGCCGTATATATAGAATATCTAGAATTTAGAACTTGTACTTTGTGGCTGTCTCAATATCTCACATTTACAATATATATCTCAAAGGAATTATAAATCATGTTTAATTCATAAATACTACTTAAATTCTGGGTGTGTAGTTGAAGCTATCGAAAGTTTTTAACTTATTTATTTAATTTATTTGTTTATAAGCCATCAGAAGTAACGACATGAAGCAAGAATTATCAAGAAAAGTAGTTCTTCTAATAGCATTTTTAGTTATATGCTGGTTTTCAACATTTCTTATTGGAGGTATATAATTATTTTTCTTTAGTTTTATTTCTTAGTTAGCCATAACTATATGCCATTATAGCTTATCAACTAATTGTATATAATTGTATTTTTTTTAAGTCCATGCGATGTAAAGTATGAAATTCAAATCGTATGGTAGAGAATTGCAAAATGACTCATCAATATTAATAAAAACATTCATTAAAATAAAAATTTATTGTGTATTATAATACAAACTCAACATATCCCAATATTACATAAGTGGAATATGTTTTTTTAAAGCTTGTCTAACATAGTTTTAGTTATTTAATTGTAGCATATGCAAGAAGCTTGAGGAAATATTCATTTGATGTGAAACACAAGGGACATGAAGGAGTTGTGATTGCAGTGGAAGTGAAGAAACATGAAGATTATGAGGAACATATAACATCCATGGATTATACAGCAGTTAGGAGAAAGCCACCAATTCATAATTAGATTTCTTGTTTATTACTTTCACCGTCACAAAATAATAGTCGTGCAATATTTTCACACATATTAAAAAATCATAATAAATAAAAGAGAGAGAAAATAATAATTTTATCAAATTATCCTCATAAATTATAAATTACTCGTACACATGTTTACCCTCAACCCCGACACCATTTAAAATCCTCTCAAAATCGAATTTAAAGTCCATATATTCACCATGTGCCTCCCCCAACAATTATTGTATCATCAACAAACTGCATTAAGCTATATGCATCCATATCCATCACTATGAATTATTTGAATAACCCAACATCTACAACATGACTCACAATTCTTTCTAATCCTTAAGCAACTATAGAGAATAAATATGGAGAGAGAGAATCAACCTTCCTGAACCCTCTCTTCATAGTAAATTCTCCAGTTGGACTTCCATTCACTAACACCGACATACTACTTGTGAAAACACCAGCCTCTAACCATTGCATCCACCTTTGACCAAATCCAAATTTCCTCAACAATCTCCTAAGAAAGTTCCAATCTACACAGTCGTAGGCTTAAGAGAATCTATTTTGAATAGCATACAATTCTTTTTTTCTCTACTTGCATAATCAATAATCTCATTAGTCACCAAGACACCATCCAATATTTTTCTCCTTGGTATGAGTGTAGTTTGGTTACTTGATACAATCTTCCCAATAACTCTTTTTAACCTTGATGCAAGAATCTTTGAAATCACTTTGTACATCACCCAATTAATCAAATTGGCCTATAATCATCTAATCCTTCATGGTTATCAACCTTTGGTATAAGTCCTAAGAAGGATGAAGTCATAGCTTTGGGAAACTTGGCAAGTTTGTGAAATTCTTGAATAAATCCTATGATATATTCACCAATCACATTCCAACATCTCTTTATAAACTCCATATTGAATCAATCGAGACTAGGACTTCTATCCCCCTCACAATAAAAGATCACCTCTTTAATCTCTTCCCTTGAAAACATTTTCTCCTATTATTCACTTTCTTCCACAGATATTGATTTAAGATCAAACCTATTCAAATTAGGTCTAGACACCACTTGCTCCATAAACCTATTAGAAAAATACTATTTAATTGCACTTTTCACGTCTACAACATCTTCCAACACACCTCTTTCTGTTTGAATTGACACAATAACATTTCTTCTAGTTCTAGCCTTCAACGTAGAGTAGAAATACTTTGTATTTAAATCCCCTTCTTGCACCCATCTCTTCGTAGACTTCTATTTAATCATGCTTTCTTTCAAATGTAAAGTATTCCAAATAGTTTCAGTTGCTACTTTTCTTTTCTCTTGAAATTCATTTGACTTTTGTTTTCTTGAGTTAAGCATTTCACCCTCCAACTCTTTTAATACTTCCACCCCCTCTTTTATCTCTAAATCAATCCAACAAAATACATTTCTATTCCACCATCTAAATCTTTCCCTCAAAATCTTAAATTTTTCTTTTAGAACGTACTATTTCTTCCCACTTACTACGAGTGAATCCCATTTTTTATTTACAAACTCTAGAAAATCGTTTTGATCATACCAACAGCTTTACACTTTAAATGGATTCGATCCCCAGTTATGGTTACTTGCCTTAATCCACACTGCTCTATGATCAGATATATCTTTGTTTCCAGTAGTTTGAGCAACAATTTTTCAGTCATGAATTATCCCTTATGATATAAGAAATTATGAATTCAACTACTGGAAGTACCACTTGAGTTTATCCAATTATGATTACTTCCCACAACAAGTACATCAACAAGATTCGTTAAATAAATAAAACTACCAAAATCCTCCATCTCAAAAGATCTACTCCCACCACTCCTACCCCACCTCCCATCTAACAATTTTGAAGCATTAAAATCCCCTCCCACCACTCACTCCCCAATTGCAAATTTATTCTTCAGGTTCAACAATTCCAACCAAATAGCTCGTTTCTCAGCTAAGGAACAAGGAGAGTAAATATTAAGGAAATAATAATTCGTACCTGTAGCGGCAGAAATGTCGAGACTAAACCATTTGATTTGACAACTCGTAAAAAATCAGTGAAAGTCGCCATCACACTTTTATTTTGTCCAAAAGACTAGGAAAAGAGAGAATAAAACCTAATAGTAAAATAGTGAATCTAGGTACGGGGATTGTTTATGCAAAGGGAATGTATTAACACCCTAAATATATAAGGTACTCTGCAGGAACCTCTTTGAAAATATGTGTATTTTGGCTATAAAAGGTGTATACAAAAATATATGGTGGAGATGAGAAAATAAGTCTTTTTTTTACAATTTTTGCACCCGCCGCGGTTGCAAATCTTTAGTGCCTACGTACCACCTTCCATGCAATAGGGGATCATGATACCCGTAGTTCACCTCAAAAGTTTTAAAACATCTGTATGTTGGTTAATTTTAAGAGAAGAAACATCTCGTCATATCCGAGTAGAAAATATACTTACTATCCACAATCATGAGAAATGAACATTTGCATCATCTCAAAGTGGACGACGTAGCTTGGATTTAAAATCAACAAGGTATCACTCAACACCCAAGTGGAAAATGTCTCACTTCACTATATACTGTAGAAGTATAGTAGCTTCCATCACTACAAGAATCAACAAGAGTCTAATCTTTTAAGAAAACGTTTAAAATAAAAATCCAAAGTGGCAAAATGGTTTGAATGAGGTTAATGACCTTTACTCTTGTAAAAAAATGTCAAAGTATGATTTAGAAAAAGATTTTGAAAATGCATGGACCTAAATCCGGGTTTTTATGAAAGGGGTTCATGCTTTAAAAAACAAGAAGAGTTTTGAAAATGAGGGAGATGATTTGAAAATTAAAGAAGATGGGGGGAGATGAAGGGACTATCCTATGTACATAAAGTAAAAGATAGGAAGAGAAGAGTCTAACTAACAAGAAGCCAGCACTTGACATAAAGAAGTCAATGTAGAATTTCCATCCTTTGGATTAAAAACCGAGCAAACACAATACTAAACCTCAGATGAATACCAAGCTTCATATGAATTTGTGCCTTAGATGTATTAACTCTTTACAAAAATTGGGCAGAGTAACGACTGTATATAGAGGAATTACCAATCATAGATCAGAATAACCTGCACATAAAGAAAATCAACCCAATACCTCAGAGTAAACTCCAAGGACTTTAGACAGAATAACATCATGCCACTAAGGTCTCCAAGTAGAAAGGCTTCGAATCCTAAGTCCAATAGATCAACTCCAATAATCCAAGGATAGTAACCAAATAGTCCATAAAGAAACTTAAGTCTTTTAATGGTTCAAGTTGATTATTAAGTGTCTTTAAAAGAAAAAAGAAAATCTCAAGTGAGCAAAGAAGAAATGACATAAAAATTAAATGCTCAAGTGAGCAAAAAATAAATGACATAAAAAATAAATGCTCAAGTGAGCAAAGAAAAAATGACATAAAAATAAATGCTCAAGTGAACAAAGAAAAAATGACATAAAAAATAAATGCTCAAGTGAGCAAAGAAAAAATGACATAAAAATAAATGCTCAAGTGAGCAAAAGGAAAATAGCATGAAATGCAAATGCTTAAAGGTAAATGACATAAAGTAAAGACATAAAATAAATGCATAAAGTAAAGGAATAAAGTAAAGTTAATTGTTAGTGATTAGTAATTAGGAGTTAAAGTCACAAAGTATGATCATTAATGATTGATTGATGAACATTGGACAAAGTTAATGAAAACTCATTAGAGGATTGATAGATTAAAAGTCTCCTAACAATGAGTTTCATAGGTGTTGAACCAAATTCAAATAATCAACCATCATTGGGCTTGCAAACATAAAGTTTAGGTCATAAATGTCATTTTTCGATTTGGGACAAATTTAGCGCTATGTTAAGCAATAACAGACAGACTTATGTAGAAGTCGATACTATATAAGGCCGATCAATAACAATCTTTGTGTTAATACATGCTAGAGAACTGATATGTAGGTCATTCTCCAAAAGTAATGTCACACAAAAAGAAAAAAGGAATGGTATCATCTTCATCAAGAACTTAACAAGAGTTCCAATGAAATTGAAGATTCTTCATCAACCAAAAATGAAAAATAAAGGGGGAGAGGGAAAGAAAAAACATATTGGATCACATCCTCAAAGTTCTTTCATCTTCGAGTTAAATCACTCATAATAATAGATTAAAGCACTAAACATATCACTAATTCAAAGCACCAAGAAGGAATTAAACAATTCACTCTAAGATCGATTTAAATTGATGAATGTTTATGCCACTTCATCTACATCCTAAGTCCATTGAATTTGAAGAGAAATTGGACATTTAAAATTGCAATCCAAAGCAACAGTCAAAAGAAAAGAGTAGAAAATAGAAAAGAACTAAAAGCAACGCCAAAATAGAGCAAAAACAACAATCTTCCAGTGGTAAATCAATTTACCTGTCTGGTAAATCGACTTACTAGTGTGAATTTTAAAAATCTGCACAAAAACAATAGTGGTACATCGATTTACATGTCTAGTAAATTAATTTGCTGCTGTGAAAACAACAAAAATATCATTTTAAACGCAAAATTCTTGTTCAAACTTTTTATCAAAAACCTTATGATCTTGAATTTAATTGAGCACTAAAATTCCATCAAATTATGAGAAAATAGCACCAATAAAATTCCAAAACATAGTTCAAAGAATCAAACAACCAAGATCACTAAGAGACCACATTGTGAAAGATGAAGATCCAACTTACCAAAGGTAGATCTAGAAAATTATCAAAACAATTTCAAAAACTTGCTTCAATTCATCCCCAAGAATCAATCTCCCAAGCTTAGATCTAGAGAAATAATGAAGAAAAAGTGTTTGGATGAAGGTTTAGCTCAAAGATTAGTAAGCTACAATGAAAAGCTTACTAACTTTATGAAAATGGATCTTTTAGTGAATTTGATAGATGAAGAGAGTAGAGAGAATTTTTAGCAAGGTGATTTTTGATATCAAAAGCTT